TGTAAATGCTATTATGGAACTAACAATGTAATCATTGGAAAGGAGGGCTTTTTCTGGTATTTCAAAAAGGTCACTGCAGCTTGGTTTGAAATTTGTACTGTTTCTATCACTAATAAAGTTATGACTTATTGGATGATAAAAAAAATACTACTCCTGTTCCCTTAGTATTTTTCTCCATATATATACATGAATGGTACATTTATAAGGCATTGATTAATTTGGGCCTGGCCTGTCCCCCACACGTCCTCTACATGATCTGTTCTTTCAGTATTATTTTTGTTATTCTTCATGTTGTTTAAGTGAAGAAGCAATAAGTCTTAGTAAGTGAACAGGGATTACAAGAAATCTTTCATCAGTGCTTTTATAAGGGAGACTTTGCCTCTGGGTGATACCGACCAAAACAACCTATGAACACAAAGAAATGGTATGGCCAGTTTTACTATTATAAATAGTAATGATGTCTAGACCTCAGTGTAATGACAGAAAAAGAACACCTTGTATAAATTGTATGCCAGTAAAAACAACAGAAAAATACAGTTACATTTGGATTTCAGATAAACAGTACCTAATTTTTCAGTATATTCCTATTCCCAGTTTAGCTGGGCATTCCCTACTTTATCTGACAACACCAGTTAAGATGAAATAAAATTCCAGGGTTAGATGGATTGGAAAGTTGGGTCACAGTTCTTAAGGTACAAATTAAATATAAATGAACATGTGTATTTGAATTTTTAAAAGTCTTATGGTACTCTGGTATGTTTTGAAAGAGCTCTTATCTTTGAAATGTATTTACTAAAACATTGATGAAATTGTGGAATGCTTGGGGTTTTCTTCTAAATAATGCAGGAGTTAAGGGGGTGGGTAGGAGACAACTAGCTGTGGGTTGGTGGGTATATGACAGTTAATTACCTCATTTGGACTACTTATGAATTATTCCCTGAGAAAAGAATGTGTGTGTGTGTGTGTGTGTGTGTGTGTGTGTGTGTGTGTAAGTCAAACCTTTAGGTTTAAGAAAGTTCCATCATCTAAGCATCTCCAGGGCCCATTGTCCGAGCATAGGTACAGTGAGAGGAGGCTGCATGTGGAGGCACAGTTTCTGCACCAGTTTTGGAATCCTTGGCTTGCATCTTTGTTCCTTGGCTGGCCTATCTATCACCTTGATTTTTGTCTCTATCCTTCCACGGAACAATGCATTTTTGCCAGTTATAAGCCTTTAGGAGTTCGGATTGTTCAGGAGGATATTTGGGGCAGCTCATGAGGAGGAGAGCCAGGGTAAGTAGAAGGAGATGATGCTTTATGGCCAGCTGTTTGAAAAGAACTGAACATGTGAAATAAACTGTTCAGTTAGGTCAAAATAATAAACATTACATTTTTCAATTTGTTCATGGTTTTTCCAAAACAAATCTTTTTAAGTGATTGGATTGAAGCCCTAGAAAATTAATAAATTCAGTAAACAGCCTAATAAGTCAACATAGGTTCAGTTCTCCTAGCAGGTGAGCCATCACCAGCTGGGAATACTCAGCCTCTGGCATTATTCCAGGAAGTTATTTATTGATGGACACATTTAATGGTTTTCTTTTTTCTGATTCCAGGATTTTCTTCAAATGCTGTTGGAGAATATCCCAGAAGAAAAAAGGTGAGGACCAATTTAGGAATTAAGAGTCCAGTTTTTCTTAAAGTACTGAAAATGACTGCACCAATTTGGCTTATTACAATGTAAAAAGTTCAGTCTTTCTCTCTTAATAAAGGCAGGGTCCTAGCTCAGCCAGTGGAGTCACAGGATTTCCAGCCAGACTTTGGGGCAGGCCCAGGTGGATATTGGTGACCAGCAAACACAATCTAGTGTCCCCAGAGTCAGGAATCCTGATGGAAGTACTGGAGGATATCCTGCCACACTTCTGGCCTCATCTGCTATAGGAAAGAATGGAAAAGAAAAGAATTCTAAAAGCTAGGGCAGCTCAAGTGGTTTAATATATGGAAAGATTGTTTAACTGAAGGTAAAAATGCAGTGTTGTAGTATGAACTTAGGATGTAAAGCCAGGTTCTCATAGGTTTTAAATCCAGATTTGCTGTTTCCTAACTATGAAAGTTGGAGCAAGTCACTTAATCCCTCCATAGTTCAGTTTTCTATTCTTATTAGCAAGGATTTAGGAAGGATTAAAGGAACTGTTTATAAAGTAAGCACTCAATTAATGACTGCTACACTATAATGACATAGTCAAAGTCTATGTACCAGGCATTGTATACAGGATTTATGTACAGTTATCATTCAACCCTCATAAGAGCACTTGCCATTACATCACTATCATAGCAATTATTATAAACAAATGTTTGTTGGGAGTTTACTTTATGAAGATACTCATTGAATTATCAGAATGATATTCTTTAGTGCATTGCGGTTTTATTCTTTTTTTTAACCAAGAGGGGGAATGAATATCCACCCTGAGTCTCATGCTCTCTGTGGTAGGGCTGGGATTTGAGCCCAAGTGGATTTGTATCTGATATTAGAAATAGGAAAATTGAAGCTCTTAGAAGTTAATTTTCCAAAATTTCTTAGCTGGTGAGATAGCACATACTGGAACTAGGTTGGCATGGCCATATCCCATGAGCTTTCAGTGTATTCCTCAGCATGGGCTCACTGCCCTGGCAAGGAAGGAGGTACTCATCCTCAGAAGTATTCAGTTTTAGGCTGCCCAGCTCTCTACAGAGTTTGTAGAGGAGATTTAGGACTTTTCTTCCAGGTGGACTGTATTAATCCCAGTTGAATTCTATTTTCTTGTGTTAACTTGGACCCTAAAAGTAAATACCTGAAATATAGTTTATAGTACCCAAGTTAATATTTATACATTAAAGGGGGCATCTTAATTATTTATTTGAAGATAAGATCCTATTTTCTGTTTTGCCTCCCTCATGTATGTAATATATTGATTCTTCTTTATTTTCACATTCCCCTCTCCTCTCTGTAACCCATCTTTCCCTCCTTTTTACAAAAGCTTTGTTTCCATTTTTCCTTCTATTCTTTTTTACTTTTTCTTTCCTTTTCCTTATTCTCCTTGTCCTTTGAACATGTTCTTATGATTTCCCAATATCTATCCTCCACTATATTCTTTCTTTATCCTTTGGATTTCTCATACAAGAGAAACAATGAAGTATTAAATATGTGTGCAATTTATTTCACTTCAGATTATAGTCTTGAGGTGTATCCATTTTGCTACAAGTTACTCAAGTGTATCCTTATTTATGGTAGAGTAGTCCTGCATTGTATATAAATACAACACTTTCTTTACCCATTCATCTGTTGATGAGCATATGGGGTATTTTTAAGATTTATCTATTATAAATTGTGCTGCTATAAGCATAGATGAGCATATCTAACTGTGACTTGATGCTTTTAATTCTTTTGATGTGCTCACAGTTGATTGTAATATTTCCTGTTGGGTTAGGGCATTGTTCATAAAGTCTTAGCCTATACCTGTGTCTTCCAGAATTTTACATATTCTATCTTCCAGCAGATTTAGTGTTTCTGGTTTTTTTATTTGGATTTTTGATCCATTCCATTAGTTTAGTGCATGCTGAGAGACATAAGTCTAGGTTCAGTTTTCAGTGTGTGGAAATCCAGATTTCCCAGCACCACTTATTAAAGACACTATTTTTATTCCACTGAAGGTGTTTGGCTCCTTTGTCAAAGATAAAATATCTGTGCTTGGAGCTGTTGGAATTGTTTCTTCTCTTCTATTGTATTCATTGTTCCTTGGGTCTGTTATATCTTTTGCCAGTACCATACTGTTTTTATCACAGTAACTTTGTAGCATAGCTTCAAATCCAGGATTATGATGCTTCTGGCCTTAGCATTCTTGCCCAAAGTTGCTTTTGCTGTTTTAGGTCTCTTCTGATTCCATATGAATGTTAGGATTGTTTTCTCTAATTCTACAATGTATGCTATTTTGGTACTTTGATTGTGATTGCATTAAATCTGTATAACAGTTTTTGAAGTATAGCTGTTTTTACTATATTGGTTCTACCTATACAAGAATGGGATACCTTTTTTCATTCATTCATTCATTCATTCATTCATTCATTCATTCATTCATTTGGTATAGGGTCTCACTATGCAGCTCAGACTCCTAGAGATCCTCCTGTTTTCTGCCTTCCCATCTCTGGGATTGTGTGCACCACCACGCCCAGTCTCTATGGCCTGTTCAGCATGCCTGGTGTTGGGGCTGGCATGGCCTGTGGTGCTGGGTATTGAACCCCAGTCCCTGCACTTGCCTAAGCAGGTGCTTAGTCGGCTGAGCTATCTCACCGTCCTTTTCCATTTTCTGTTAGCCTCTTCAATCTCTTTTTTCAAAATACTGTAGTTTTTCAGTGTAAAAGTCTTTCACTTCCTTTGTTAGACTGATTCCTATGTATTGCATTTTTCTAGATGCTGTTGTGAATGGCATTGTTTCCCTAATTTCTTTTTCAGTGAGTTGTAATTCATTTACAGGAGTGCTATTGATTTTTGAATGTGGACATTGTATCCTGCTATGCTGCTAAATTTGGTTATTCTAGAAATCTTTTGGTGAAGACTTTGGACCTTCTGTGTAGGGTATCATGTCATCATCAAATACTGATAATGTAACTTCATCCTTTCCTATGCATATTCCTTTTATTTCATTCTCTTGTCTAGTTGTCTGACTAATGTTTCCAGAATTATATCAAACAGGAGTGGTGACAGTGGTCCTCCCTATCTCATTCTTGATTTTAGAGTGAAAGCTTTAAGTTTTTGTCCATTTGATATGATATTGGCTGTTGTTTTGTGATAGATGGCTTTTTAACAGATTGACGTTAAGTATTATCCTAGTTTTCTCTATTTTTTTTTTTTATCATGAAAGGGTTTTGGCCTTTGTCAAACACTTTTTCTGCATCTATTGAGATGATCATGTGGTTTTTGCTCTTGCTCTTGTTAATGTGTATTACATTTGTTGATTTACATATGTTGAACAATCCCTATATCCCTGAGATGAATCCTAGTTGTTCATGATATGTAATATTTTGATTTATTGTACTCTGCCAATATCTTATTGAAGACTTTTATATTTATGTTCATGAAAAAGATTGATCTGTAGTTTTCTCTTTTCTTTTTCTTCCTTTCCTTTCTTTTTCTTTTCTTTTCTTTTTTCTTTTGTGGTACTGGGGATTGAACTCAGGATCCTGCACTTGCCAGGCAAGTGCTTATTCTACTGAGCTATCTCCCTGGCCCTCTTTTCCTTTTCTTGCTTGTATCTTTCTCTGCTTTTAGTATCAGAGAAATGCTTTCTTCCAGGAATGATTTTATAAATACTGCTTCTCTTTCAATTTCATTATAAAGTGTGAGGAGTAGTGGCAGTTGACGCTCTCTAAAACTCTCGGTGACGCTGGGGATATAGCTCATGGGCACAGTGCTTGCTTGGCAAGCACAAGGTTGTGAGTTTGATTTCCAGTACCAAAAAATAAAATAAAATTTTTGGAAAATTCAGCAGAGAATCTGTCAGGATGTGGGCATTTCTTTGTTGATTTTTTTTCTTATTCTTTAATTTCATTGACTGGTAATGAGTTATTTAGAATTTTTATATTTACTTGATTCATCTTTGGTTAGTCATATGTATCTAGGAATCTGTCAATTTCTTCTGCATTTTCCATCTTACTAGAGTACAATTTCCCAAAGTAGGTATTGATGCTCTTTTGGATTTCTGTAGGGTCCGTTATAATTTTGCCCTTTTCTATTTGTTTGGATTTGGATTTTTTTTTCTCTCCTGTTTTTGATAAGGTTGACTAAAGATTTGTCTACTTTATTTTTCCAAACCCAACTCTTCAATTCATTGATTCTTTGTATTGTTTTCTTAGTCTCAATTGCATTGATTTCTGATGTTTATAATTTCCTCCCTTCTATATACTTTGGATTTAAATTGCTTTTCTTTTTCTAGGACCTTGATGGTTAGCATTAGGTTACTTGCTTCAGCTTGCTCTGTTTTTCTAATGTATAAATTTTCCTGATAGGATTGCTTTTATTGTGTCCCATAAGTTCTAATATGTTATATTAGCATTGTCTTTTAATTGTAGAGACTATCCAGTTTCTTTTTTAATTTCATCTGTGACCCCATTGGTTGTTCAAGAGGGTGATATTTAATTTCCATGTAGTTTTGTGGTTTCTTTTATTATTTATTTTTACTTTCATTGCACTGTTATCTGATAAGATGCATAAGATAGTTTCAGTTCCTTTGCATTTACTTAAGCATGTTCAGTGAGCTAGTATGTACTCCATTTTGGAGGAAGTCCTATGTACTTCTGAGAAGAATGTATATTCCACTGTTGGGTAGAACATTGTGTAGATATATATTAAGTCTATTTGTTCAAAGATTTGGGTCAGGTGTGATATTTCTTTGTTTTTTTTTTTTTGTTTTGTTTTGTTTTTGTTTTTGTTTTGTTTTGTTTTGTTTTGTTTTGTTTTGTTTTGTCTAGTTGATCTATTTGTGACAGTGGGGTATTGAAGTTTCCTATTATAATTGTATTAGTGCTTATCTGATTCTTCATCTCCATTAGAGTTTGTTTTATATAGTTGGATGGATTTGGTGCATATATATTTATGATTATTATCTCTTTTTCTTGGATTGTTTT